AATTTGCATCTACTAATTTTGCCTGAAACAGAGTCAGTACTACATTTCAAGTGTCCCATTTTTCAAAGCAAAACTGCAGAAGAAAGACAAAACATCTAGAATGAAACTACCCAAATGCTGAGGGAAATCTGTATCAGACTCAGTCCTGCAGTAAATGCCCCATTTTAAGATGATGCAAGTTTCCATAAGGCACCAAGTCAAGTTCTACTCCTGAAAAGAACACTAAGGAAGCAAACATTCTGGCCAAGCACTCAGCCTTGCAGCCTGCTCTCTGGGCCCTGCTAGGTGGTGAGTGCTGGCTCTTGCCCCTGTTGCCACTCCTGGTCCTCCTCCCCATGCCACAACACCTTTTTTGTACAGTTCACCTGAACAAGGTCCTTTTAAACTCTGGACACGAGGAACTTGTTTCTCCCGTGTGCCTCTGGCTGCTGTATCTGGGTGAGAGATGTGCTCGAGCTCCTCTGAAGGAAAAGGCAACAAACACCCTCAGACTGGCTCCAAGGGAGCTCATTTCACAATGGGATATGAAGTTCTCCAGCAGAACTTGTCTCTTCTGAACTACATCATCAGGGAACATTATCAATAATAAAATCTCTCTTTCACAACACCATGGGATTTCCATACTCCAGCCAAATGCATTTTCCTGGAGGGAATGACATTCTGATGTGTTCTGGGACAACTCCATAGGCACTTGCCAAGACACATGCTGGCTTCAGACGGAGACACACAGCAGTTTAAGCTTGGCTTAGCTTGTGAGTCTCGAGGAGCGACAGGCCATCTGGCACATTTCAGTAAACTGGCACTCGGTGCTGAGAGAGGTCCAGGGCTTATATAAGACAGACATGGCAGGACAGGAGTGAAATGCACTGGCAGGGCTGTGTGCACAAAGCTTGAGTGGCAGCACTTAATCCAAGCCAGTATGGGCAGGATGAAACCCATCGATCCTCCCACAGCCACAGAGGCAGCGCTGGGAGCACGGCAAGAAGACAAAGGAGTGCTGGGGTGAGGTCAGGAGAAGTGCACGAGCAAGGGACCAGCCATGGGAATGCTGCTGGGAGGAGGAATCATTTAAAATTGAGCTGTGGGGACCACCACACTTGAAGTCAGGGGGTACAGCTCAGAATGAAGCTGCATCAAAACCTCTTGGGAGGAGGGCCAGACAGAATAGTGCCAAGATTTTAGACTGCATGTCTCCCTTGGGTTACGGTAGCAAAGGTGATGATACATAGAATCAGTGCACAAAAGCAGGAGAATCTGCAATGAGATTGAGAATGTGGGGCACTGGGAGGAATGAAGGAGGCTTTCTGTACTGGAAAGCTCAGCTGTTGCAGCACTGACTTCTTCCTGACTTGTTTYGGCAATTTTGTATAAGACCAAATCTGAACCAGTGGGAGAAAGAAGTATATGTGTTTGGTCCTCCTTCCAAAAATTAGGTTAGTTTTAAGATGCAATTATATGAAAATCAAAAACAAGATGAGAAGGCCAGTTTTGTTGCTGCTTAGTATAATGAGATGTTCCTACAAGAGTCTGACGACTGGGAAAATAGAATTAACAATTCATTTACAGAAACAAAATCTTTACTGAGAAAATTTTTTCTCACTMGAACAGAAATGTGCAACTCCATTTATTGCAGCAACTGCCATCATGTGCATTGGCTGACAACCCATTCCGGGTATGGATCACAGCACTACTCAACATCTGCCCTCAGGCATTTTTTCATTCCATACCCAAACTGAACGTTGGACAATGTCTGGCACATGCACACAGATGCCACACAGACTGGTCCCATCCTACTTTCATCCTCTGTGGCTTGCCTGTAAAAGTGAAGACTTAACCAAGAAGATAATGGTGTGATGTGTCCTCCTTTGACTGACCTACTTTGAGTCAAAAGACTGGGAAGAGGATACACAAATCCAATGCAGATTGAAAAATGTCTTTGGCACAGCATCCCCACACAGGCTCATCATACATTCAAAAAAAGGTTTTTTTCATCCTTTTTCCCAGATTTCTGTTGTCAAAAAAGGACCATTACTGATAACTCCCCGAGGTTCATTCTCCTTGTGTTACCCAATACCTCATTCACACCTAAGGCATCAGGACAGATGAAAGCAAAATAGAGATGAGCAGTTCTTTCYCTGGTATTCAAACTTTAAATCAAACACCCACTTTGCTATACTATAAACAGACCAGCCTGTTTGGAGCACCAAGGCACTCCTGTAATATTTCTTTTCCTTTAAGATTTTATATTTCTCCTRTGAGAAGCAATTACAATAGAAGTGTCAAGCAAAAATAAATCCCTGTTAATCACAGTYGCTGTGAGCCTGCCAAGTAAATCACATCTCAGCGTTGCTGTTCCATTTTTCAGGTAGAAATAAAAAGTGTGTGAGAATGCCATGGTCTAGAATTGAGCTCTCCCCAAGAGGGGGTACAAAGTTTTTGAAAACACAAGCTCTTCTCTTGTGTTCATGACATTGTGTGGAATCAGACAAGCACCAAAACTGAGTATCCATGACTGTGAGAATAATCCAGATTGGAAGGATCCTCTGAAGGTTGTCTAGTCCAACCTTCATGCTAAGCAAGGCCCAGGTTAAGTCAGACTGCACAGTTCAGCTGGGCCCAGGGGTTTCTGAAGAACTGGAAATCACTGGTTCCACAGCTTCTCCAGGACACTGGGCCCATGCTCAGCTGCTCTGACCATAAATAACTTTCTTCCTATGTCTAAATCTAATTGGGATTTGTTTCCCTGCAACTTGTGTACATTGATACTTTTACCATGCCCTCCTGAGAAAGGATTTGACCCTGTCTTCTCTGTAGCCTCTCCTTCCTGTCAGCTTTTCCTTCCCCAGACCAAACAAACCCAGTATCCTCAGCTTCCATTCAAATGTAGGCAATCCTGCTTCTTCACCTCTCTATCACAATCACTGATAACATGTTTCTTTTGGTTTTAGTCTACAAATAGGCAATTTGGTTTTAGTCTACAAATGCATCTGGAAAGAGAAATGACAAATGGAGAAAACCTTGGGTTCTCCACTGGGCTGTTACTTTCTCACACTTTTCAAACTCAAAGGTTTCATGGACTGTCCATGAGTCACAATGGAGCTGCCTTCAAATCACCTGAAGAGAAYGGTACTGAGATTGTTCCCCTCCAAATCTGAGAATTTCTGTGGGCTTTGAAGAGAGGTTTGGTTCTTGGTTTATCTTCATCTTTTCACAATTCCCTGTGCTGTGAAAACCAGCCATTTCAAGGCAATGCAATTGCAGATGCTGTTCCAGAACTGAGTGCAAGTGAGCAGTTTCCACTGTGCCACAGAGCTGCTAACCATGGTTTAAAAATGCTGTGAAGTCTCCTGTTTCCTTCTGAGTAGCGCATGGTGGCTTGGTGACTAGATCAATTAATTTTTTAATGCTATCTATTTGAATATAGGAAACCTCTTTTAGCTGAGTCAATCTTAAAATGTCCAGTCTGTGTATTGCAGACTTGAGCTTATGGAATGAGATTTCAAATCAGATAAATGGTTATTTTGCTCAGGAACCTCCAGGAACACTTAGCTTATACCTGATCCAGCCATAAATATAGTAACACAATTTTCTCATCTCATTTCAGAGTCCCATTTCTTTTCCACTGTAAAATCCTAACCCTGCAGCTGCCAGTTACACTGAGTCACCACCCTGAAATCAATTTCAAACAGAAGAGCCTGTTTCTCAATAAAAAGAAATTAACACTAAGATGCATTTAAGTATAAACCTCATTCCAGTTTCCATACTCCCTGACTATCCCCAAGAACCATGTAGATTTGTATTCCATTCCTGTAGCTTAAGTTGGACATTTTTTCTGATACCAGGAAATCAAAACACACTCCTGAATTAATCAAAACAACTTCAAATTCTGCTCAATCAAACCATTTTTACAGTAAAAACATTTTTAAGTGCCTCAGCTTACATATGCTTCTCTGCAATGACTTGACAGCAGCTGCACTGACATCATCCCTGTTGACAAGTGGGATTTCCCCATTCCTTCACAACAGGATAAAAACCCCAAGATAAAGACAGGTCCCTTTGAATTGCCCATCTTCTCTCAGTTTTTGGCACTGCCTATATGCAACTTTTGTGTTTTTAGTGACCATTTGAATTTTACTGCAGCAAAGTTAYTCACAGAGGATGATGCCCTTCATTTTTAGAACAGAAGGGGAAACAGATTCAGTGTATGCACCTGGTCTGATTTGGAAAGAGACTGCAAGACAGAGAAAACTATCTGCTTTACAAAGACCACAACATAATAAATTTTAAGTCTCAGGAGTAGTTARGTGTCTCACACTGGACAACAGTCTACTGGTAGAGAATGGGAAAATAATAGTTTTGTGCCACTGTAGCCAATACTACTTCTGAGTCAGTGAAAACAGCTACCAGAAACCCAAGTACAAATCCTCCATACAATTTACATCACCCTGAATAAACTCATTATCTGCCAATGGCAAAGGTGTCTTGCAGTGGAAGACATTCTGTCTGGAAATACACGGAGGAACAGTTTTGTACTCTGACTCCAAGTTTCTGCACCACCCATGCTTTTGTACAGAGCTTTAACAAAGCAGCACAAATGCATAAAAGATATTTCACAGTCCTCTACCTGTGATCAAAGTCCAATAAGTATCTGGTTTTCAGTGAGGAAACAATTTCAACTTTCCTGACCTCTTCTCTAAGATTGTCCTCTAAAGTATGCCCCTGTCATAGGGAATGACTGACTGATGAYATTCTGATAMCCACAAAAACTATGTAATATTTTTAAATAACTCACCCCAAAGAAATAAAAATGCTTATTCATTAAAACAGAACGAAGGAATCTYTGTTCAATCCTTCAGCCTATAACAGGACAACATGTAGAAAAATTAAGCACAGGGGGGTATTTTTTGCCTACATTCCCTCTCTTTTATGGCTTTAGTATGCTTGTTTAGAGCCAGCAAGTACCAGCTCACATTGTCTTCTTTGCCAACCAGGGTTCTTACCTGTGACGACGCTGGGGATTTTGGACAGAAAGCTCTTGACAGTGCGGATGGGAACTCCACCTGTTTTGTCATCCTGCATTCTCGTAACGATGTCTTCAATCTGTCAAAAGAAAGGAAAGACTTTGTGATTTATGCAAAATCATATATATATTTTATATATATATATATATATATATATATATATATATATATATATACACACATACACACACATATATATATATATATATGCATGTATGTATATGTATATATAACATTTATATACCATGAGTGCTGTGGAGCCCTGCTGGTAGAATGGACTTCAAATACACCATGTGTATTCACTGCCCAAACACAGAGGTAGAGACACAGCTACCCACCCAAATTTAAACTCTGAGATTAGAAACCATGAGACAACACAGACAAGCTTTGAAGAGAGTGGTTGGATACTGACAATCCAACTGCAACTGTGCTTTTTATCTTTCATTTGCTGACCAYGGGTGACAGAAAGGTGTTGTTTGCTCCACAGGTGAACTGGATTACACTTCAATTTAAGGAGACTGACATCCAGTCCCCTTTCCCCTCTGCTCCCAACATTCATTTGAATCCTCAATACTGTATGCTTTGGAGAGATTTCATTTTCCAAAGGGCCCCAGACAGTCACCAACTGCCCATGGTTTGAGAAGAGCATTAGAGGAACAGCTGCAGGAGGACTTCCCCAGCCTCATTTTATTGGCTAGGATGGTACCCGTCCATGGTCAGTGCACAAAGTACATAACCAAAAGTAAAATGATCGTAGATGAAAACTCACTGGACTTTCACACCAAGCTACCTTTTCGTTCACAAGCACACACATAATCCATCACCTACAGAAACAAACACGATTATCTTCAAAAGCCATGGCAATCAGGGGATCCAGTTACTGGGGGAAGGAGCTTAATCCTCCTCCTGCTTACTCTAAAATAGGAAGGGATTTTTGCTCCTTTTAAGGCTACTCCCCATGCATTTACTTGAAGGCAACAAAAAGCTGAACATAAGCACAGTGCAGAAATTCAGTATCTCCAAAAACTCCCTTCAAGCTAATAAGGTCTCAGAAGCCCAACAAAAATAAACCCAAAGTTGTTGTCTCTGTTAGYTCAAGCAGCCAACAGCACAGCTCCACCCGCTGCTGCTGACAGGAGGCCRAGGGCAGCCAGACAGGGAGCACAGCTCTGATTTTACCTAAAGATTCCCTCATAACAGATGCCACAAAACAGAACYGCAGCAGACAGGTTACACGATGGGAGCACGGCCCCTCTCTCCTAAAGGCAGCCTAAGAGCTCAACATGCTCTCTCCATCTCTGGAAAGCCATTTCATTTGCATATGCAAGTGAGTTTTTTTCACAGATTTAACACCTACATTTCAAAACAAGTTTAATTTCAAGACAATYTCCCTGCCAACTTCAGGCACTGAATTTGATCACTGTGTTTTTAACCTCAGGTTACCACTTAACTGAACTGTTCACTCCTTGTTTATATATTACTCTTAATTTAACACATCCTGAACAAATTCTCAGAGGGAATGAAATCACAAAGATGAAAATATCCTTAAATATTCAATATATTACATGAACTTTGGGTRCTTACACAGTTAATTTGTGATAGAATAATGATAATTTCCTCAGAACTGAATCACTATGAAAAGTAATACCACCTTTCTCCGTTACCAGATCCTTATGCAAAGYTGTTTGCTGATCAAAGTATTGGGCTTATTTCCAGTCTGAGGGTACCTGGAGAAGTAACTGCTCATCTCTGATACCTGGAGGGGTAACTGCTCTGCTAAAGAGCRGGCAAAAAGCATTTCATTTTGTTGAGAAGAAACTGCATCACTTGTTATAAACCCAGACCTACAGGGCTATGGTGCTCCAACATCAGACGTAGCAGGCAACAGAGCAGCTCAGTCGCCTGGGAAGGGTGGACCAAGAGTCCCAAAATCTCAGAATGGCTCAGGCCAAAAGGGGCCACTGTGATCACCTGGTCCCATCTCCCTGCTCAGGCAGAGTCATCCTAGAGCACGTGGCACAAGATTGCATCCAGACAGTTCTTGAATATCTCCAGGGAGGAGACTCCACAGCCTCTCYGGGCAACTGTTCCAGTGTGTGGTCTCCTGCACAGTAAAAAAGCTTTTCCTTGTTTTCMGGGAGAACTTCCTGTGCATCAGTTTCTGCCTTTTGCCTCTTATCCTATTGCTTGGCACCACTGAAAAGWGCCYGACTCCATTCTGAGTCTCAGACTTCATTTAAGAAGGTCAGCCAGACTAAGAACTGCTTCCACAAGGGAATGAAAACAGACATCAGAGAAAGATTTTTCCATGCATATTAGGAGGAAACTACTCTGAAATGCATTAAAAGCATCCCATGTCTCCAGAAACACTTAAGGGCTTCAAGAATCACAAGAATAATGTGTGGTAAAAACTGTTGTTTTCTCTTCTTCTATTTGAATAAAAAGTTCAGGATGAAAAATGACCTAAAATAATTACTTCACTGCAGGAAAATAAACCCTTTACTCCTTTTCCTCACTATAAGCTAAAGGAACAGCAGAATGATTTATGTCATTAACACTCCAAGAAAAGTTCAATTTAAAGCAAAATAAAACTTTAATTATCTTAAAAGAAAGATATATTGTTTTTACCTGAACTATTCCTTGTTTCAAACAATCAAGCAGGCACTGGTGTATCAAATGGGGMCATTAATTTCAGCTTCAGTTAAAATTACAAATACCTACTTCATTGTAAAATAAAAATTAAACAAAGCTACTTTACAGTTAACTCTTTCCCAAAAGGCTCCTTCTTATTCCTGTCTTGTAGCCTGACTACACTAATGGCACTTACTGCTCTCCTTATTTCGAAGTGTTGGATGTTTCTGCTCTTTCTCTTTCTACTCAAATGCCACATCYCCATTCTTTCCTGTCCTCTCACCTGATCCAGACATGACTACACATCATCCTCCTACAGCATGCCCAGAATTTTCCGTCTGCTGCCCAAGAGCCCACTGGATTACATGCCCTGGTTGTACACATTCTTTCCATTCCCAACACACTTCTTTTGTGCTCTCCAGAAAATTTCTGCACTGCTCGAAGAGGACAGCATGTCATACTCAAAGAAACATCTGATGATAATTTTATCCTTTCTTAAAGTTATAATAAAAAWTTGATTTAAATATTAAAAACCTGTATCTAGCAACCTATGCCCAGTTTTTGTTCAATTTGCTACAAAGAAAATATTTGACCCGTCGTTTTGCACCCAACCAACGCTTGCAGATATTACTGCCCAGGATCCAAATTCCTGCTGAGCTACAGAAATATTTCACAAAGTAAGTGATACAGTGACAAAGCAGAAAAAAGTGATCATTAGAGCTTCAAGYGTGGAAAAAAGCAAAGATGAAGTGTGAAAGTCACTTTCATCAAAGCTTTTAATCTTAACTTTTAAGAGAGTTACCTAGACACTCGAGTGCTAATAATTCTCCCTTCAGCTTCTGCATGTCAATAAATACCCCTTAGGCTTCCCTCTCTGGCAGACAGGGAATGAGAGTCCTTGGACAGCTCATTTCATCAGGCTAGGAAGCAGAAACAAGTGCAACAAAGCATTCCTCATATTTGTCTCTCCTAAATGAGCAAGCTTCAGTGAACTCAGTCATGGTAAGAACAGGCAATGCTTTTCGGTTTGTTTTGTTTTTTTGGGTTTTTTTTCTCTGATGGTGGTCACTGCTATTTCAGTCTAGTCTGATTTTTGCACAGGAATTGTTATTCTTCCCTCCAAGTGGATTCTGGGTCAGTATCTCCACAAGAAAGCCAGAGCAATTTGTGTATCTGCTGTCACTGTTTGCTATGCGCTGTAATGTATGCCTAACAAACCAGATCTGCCTTTCCTCCTGGCTGGTTGCCRACAACTCCGCTCCCTACATTTGTCCAGAATGTTTTCATTCCTCATTATCCCACTCTCAACGCATTGAAAAGGGCTTCTGGCTTCAGGAACACACCACTGGAGACATTAACTACTGCAGRTAGTTTATGAGGAGTTACCAGCACATACATGTTACATAGTATGYGTTAGGGAATTTAATGCATATATTGCTAGTATTCATTCGACTTCTTTTCTACTATCAGCACTTTTACTGGCCTAAGGAGGCTGAAGGCACAAAGTAGAAGACCTTGAATTTCTGTCAGAGCCAAGAGGTCTATCACTGGAAGAGAAGAAGTCCTTTTTCTGAGGCAGGAGAGAACAAAAGATTGCATTTGTTGATGCATTAGAACAACTAAGTCATAATGCAACAACAAATGTAACAAYCACAGCCTGGCAACTTYGGGTCARTGYCACCCAACATCCCATTACCATTWTAAGAGGGAAAATGACTCAAATTTGCAGTAGCTTTTCCTTTTCCTTTACCCAGGTAAAGCAGGAACCCCTTCTGCTGCAAGTTAGCACACACAGCCTTGCTGAGCCCTGGTCAAGGTTTATTTTGAAGATTACATGCTKAGGGAAGGGCAAATTATGCATGGAAAAGAAAAGCTACCAGATCCCAACCCACACAGCTCTACATCTTTACACCTCCAGCAGCTGATGGAGCTTTCTGGCTGATCATGTTCAATTGGACTGAGTGATGACCACATAATGAGACCATCACAGTCCCATTTTGCCATTTTGTTTTGTGAATTAGTGAGGAAAACAGCACCCTTTTCCTATTCTAGCATYGGAGTTAGATGCACATATTCCCTCAGACCCTGCAGGAAAGTTCCYGTTGCCTATTTTTGAATATTTCGGTGTGTCCCAGGTTCCTGTCTGATTATCCACAGCAGCCACCCCACTCTTGGGGACTCCTGTCACCAGCTAACCTGTGGCTGGASAGTCTCCAAGCATCACTCATCCGTGCCAACATTAAACGTACAGGGTTAGACAGAGCGCTGTGCAGTTGCAGATATCCTCCCTGAGCTGGCCAATGACAGCTCTCCCGTACATTTGGGGAGCTGGACGGTGCATGGAGCAAAGAATCAGCCTGCTATTGCTAACAGAGAGAGTGATGGCAATGATTATAAACACATTTGATCTTTTCCCTGAAATAGAGGTTTAAGAGAGACTGCTTCTCA